TCTGAGGCTGGGGCGCCGCAGGCCCGCCCCGGGTCGCTTTCCAGCTGCAGAACATCAGAAGTGCCACTCCAAAGACAAAAAGCGAAAAACTGGTTAGATACCAGTTATCTCTGGTAACTAACAGGGGCGGATCCAAAAGATGGGGAAATCTCTCCTTGCCAGTTTAGGCAATATCTGATATCTGTCGCTTGCCGGCCACTGTTTATCAGTTCCCAAGGTAAGAAAGTAGTAGACCTGGGTGGGAGCTTTAATTCCAGGTCCGGGGGGACCATGCAGCAGTCCTGGGAAACCTGTAGCATGGTTGGTTACAGGTAACTTTTGGCCTGGGATGGAGCATCTAGAGCCAACACATTTGGGAGAGCCCATGGTAATAAAATAGGAAATGGCTACAAAGCACTTAACCATGTACTGAATACTGTTCTAAGCACTTTATATATAACCCATTTAATCCACATAATTGCCCAATGAGGTAGGTACTATTATTATTGCCATTTTACATTTTGAGGAAACTGAGGCACAAGGAGATTAAATTGCTTGCCCAAAGTCACACAGCTAGCGTTTGGCTACAACAAGCTGTCGAGTTCCTTATCAGGGATGAAATGGTGAGATACTTACTCCTCAATATTTCATTGAAGTAGGCAGAACTGAGACACTAGATCAAAAAGATATGCATATCAACCTTAGAGAGGAACAATGAAGATCTAACTATGAATTAGAGATAACAAATGGCCTCCACTTAGGAGTCTTTCTGGGAACACCTAGGACCAGGCCATTTGGACTTCAGATGATTGGTAGAGCATACATATATATCCCCCAAAGACCACCATGAACTGTGATGGGTGAAAGCTCTGGGAGCCTTGAATGATGGGTTTTCAGACCTGGAAATGGTCTTTTATAATGTGTGCAAAGACAATCAACTGTTTTCATGAAATCAAGGGAAAATTGCTGGCTCTCAATGACGGTCTTACAATGTGAGCTAGGGAGTTAACTTAGAAGTTTAAAATACCTATGGTTGGCTTTGTCAAAATCAAACTATATACATAAAATTAAATGTATAAAATAAAAATTACAACATATTTTATATAAAATATAATAAAAAAATATTATATAAACAATTCTATAGTATCAGATACTATATATGTATAAAAAATAATGTGCAAGGTAAGGACTCCTTACCAATTATACCCAGAAACATTTAGAAGGAGAGAGGATCCAAAGAAATTCTAATACATTCATGAACTGCTGGAGGAGCTGTGATATGTGAACTTTTCAGTGTGAAAAGATCCAAGTTGAGAAGATTCAATTAAAGGCTATCAAATGATTATCCCTAAGTTGAACAAGCACTTGTTGCTCAAATAAATTCTGGGCTTGTGGAGTCAGGAGGGACACCTGAAAGAACTATTTTATATAATTATCTATGATTTTCTTAATCCAAGAAGTGTTACTCGCTACAGATATACAATGACTTTTGAAAACCCTCATCAAAGATAGATCCATAATGAGTTATTGGATAGATTCATAATGGGGACATCTCTATAAATCTTCATGATCTGTATTAAAGATGGTGGCCAAATATCCCTTATTCTGTCAGAACAATGCAGAGTAAATTATGGTTCTAAGCGAGGAGGGTGATCCTTTCATATAAAGATCCCATTTTTAAACAGGAATGTCTCCAGCAGACACCCTCATTGTGCTTAGGGCTGATGTGTATGCTGACCCAACCTCATCCAAGATTTCTTAGGCAGAGAGGATGGTGATATTATTACTTTTGATGTTTGGACCCAGGACTCTGGGGTTTCTTAAGTATTTTCCAGAATAATGATAGAAGTTGAAAAGTTTCTAGAGATAATTACTCAAAACACTGAATACCACTGCATCACAGGGTTCTTTCAAGTGAAATAAACAGAGGAAGTGCGGGCTCTGGAACTGGGCTGCTTGGGTTCAAATCCTGGCGCCTCCACATACTAACTTTGTGACCTCAAGCAGCTTAATTCATCGATTTCAGTTTCCCCAGCTCAAAGTGAAATAACATAAGTAAAGCATTCAGTAATGTCAGGCCCTTAGTAAGCAGGTAATAAATGTTAGGTATTGTTAATAAATCCTTTTCTCGATTCCAAAAGATGACTACTACTAATAAGGGGTTTGTTTTAACTGTAACAACTTTATAATCAATAAATACTGGATATTAATGGAAGAGACTACTTCTGTTCTGAGTACAGGAGTGCAGAGCTTTTCTAAGTGCTTGTATCTTAGTGCTCTCCACATCCATCCTCACCATACAGATGGCATTTCTCACTTCAGAGCCCTGCTCAATCCCCCTCTCTTTCCTCAATAGGTGTATCTCATACCTCAAATTCCAGCAACCTCTTCATACAACTGGTTTTTTGTTTTGAGGGAGCCCATCTGTCTTCCCTTTGCAGTCCCTTTCTATTGCACTCTCTGGAACCCCTGTTTGTCAGGTTACTTTTTCACCCAAAGCCCATGTTTAAGCTCACTTCACTTTTCATTGTTTCATTGTTCATTCTCCTCCCACTCTCCAGGTGCTTTTTGCAATATCTTGTTTTAAACATGCAATATCTTGTTTACCTTGAATCAATTAGAAAAGAGAAGCCAGTCAATCTTATTCTCATCCTTAATGTTATTTCTAAGCTGCTGCTTCATGATTTATTTGAGTTTTACACCACTCTTATCTGGCTGTTGTTACTACTATTGGCTGCCATTACTTCTACCTTGGACTGACTTCACTTCATATTCTTCCTTTCCATCCTGCCTCCTGTTTTTGCTGGTGATTTCAAAATCCACGTAAATAAACTGCTTCAAAGGACTCTGATTTCCTAGATCCTGTCATTGTCATACCACATGCATCCTTTACACATGAAGATGTACTCTTGACTTCATCACAAGGCAGTCTCTGTTCACTGCTCCCCAATTCCATATCTAACATCTGTCATGTCCTCCACTTGCCCCGTAGGGCCTTCAACTTCTCTGTGTTGGCAGTTTAGTTCCAATTAGTAACCTTATTCCACTATATTTTCTCCTTATCCTGGATAACTAGTTTGATCCCCTTTGATGCCTACCTGGAAATTCCATGCCACCCCCTCCCCCTTTTTGGTACTACGACTGTATTTAAGCACAACCACCTGAACAAAATCCCCACATTTATTTTTAAACAAGTTATGAACTGTATCCTTATATGTAATAGGCATATCCGATTGTTTTGGGTCTTTGTTTATGGTTCCTTTATAATATTAGGTACTTAAGAGAGTTAGAGGCAAATGGAGGAAAAAGTGTGCGTTGAGAGAAGATGTTAAGCAGAAGATGAACTAGAGAGACTGCAAGTAATGGCACTGAGAGTAGAAACCAAGTAAAATAAGGATTGCATTCCAGACAGCAGTCAGATTAAAGAGAGAGGCTCTGAAGTTAGAGTAACTTCAGTTTGGATAACGTCTGTGAAATCAGATTAGATGCCAAGTATGGCGAGCATCAGTTTGGTAAAGAGGACATTCTCATAAAGGTTCTTGTCACTAAGTCCCCTCCAATGAGAAGAGTTTGCATGAGAGTAAGAAATTTGAGGCAGGATAAGCTTAGGTAGGGAATAGGCCTCACACACTTATAGCTCCAGAGCTCTCAGGCTCACTCTGGGATCCTTGTTTGTTTCTTAGATGTGAAAAATTAGGTTTCCAATCCCAGCTGCCTCAATGCCTTGTGTGTGCAACTCCAATTTTGGTCATGTGAAAAAGCCTAAATAAACAGTTTTCAACTTGTGAATGAGGTGTTTTTCAAATGATCACTTGCTTTCCTCTGTTGTGAACTCAGAACGTTTTCCCACACCGAGTCACGTAAATTCCAATCCCAAGAGTCAATTTGACACATAATTTGTCTAAGTTATAGTACTAAAACTATTATCATTTTTATGGGAAAATCTGTTCACACTTACAATTTAGAAAGCTAGGAACATATGTATTTCTATAGGACCAGGGACTCATCTGGTTCAAAGCCAGTGACGATATTCTTGTGTTCTATACAGGGATTATGGATAGAGGCACAAGAGACGGGGCACTAGGGAAATGGGGATACAGTATATTACAGGGGTGGGGAGAAGATGGGATAACGACAAGGCTGGACAGAAAGGTAGTTAGTAGTAGTTAAAGAATGGTGGTTGCCCCTTTTTTCTCCCCCTTCCCTTCTGTCACTGTCTCACCACTTCAAATTTATTGACCAGCTAGAGGTGAAGGGAGAAGAGGGGACTGGAGTTGGGGGTGGGGGCGGGGGTCGGGGAATGGAAAGGTAGTCCCAGAAATTGTGGTTTGGAGTGGCAAGATAGAAAGGGAAAGAAATAAGAGGACATCTCAGTAGAGATTTAAACTGATCTCAGTAAATAAAAAGATAAACAGACCAGGAGCCATGTATATGTCTGTGTGGCTTGCCTACTTTTTGACTACAATAATCATCATAGGTTCTCATCCAAAACAGAACTGTTTACTCAGTAATGTAGGGGTTAAGTCAACCAGTTGATTTGTTTTTTCAGAAGCCCCAAGGAAGAGAATCACTAATCTTTGGGTCTTTTATGTGCTCAAGAAGGTATACAAACCAAAAATTGTAAGCCAGTTCTCAAGAGCCATTTTTAGGGAATTCAGAACATAGTAACTATAGAGTTGGGAAGAAAGGCAGGTTGAGTAAAACAGAGAAGAGCACCAGCACTCCTCCCCTAACTAAACATGCACACACACACAAAGGGCTTGTACTGAGAAGACTCTGGAGCCTTGGAATGTAGGTCAGTCTCTTTTTTTGAAACACTTAAATTTGAAGCAATGGAAAGGCCATCCTGAAGCCCTAGTTTTTGGGCAGGATGGTGGTCTAATTCACTGTTCACTCTCAAGAGCTGGTGGCACATGTCCCATGTAGGGTTTTCCTTCTGCTAAAAGTCTGCAGTGGTCCCTTGTTTACAGGACTGTGTTCATGCTTCCTCACTTCACTGGCAACCACGAAGGCAGCTGTGACTCAATGCAATGTTTCTCATATTTTAGTCTAACATCAGGTGACTGTGGAGCTGTCAAAATGAAGATTCAAGCCCATCCCAGACCTAATGAAGCAGAATATCTGTGAGTGGGACTCAGGCATTTTAATCGAGCTCCACTGACGTTGAGGAATCACTATTGTAATGGAAAGGACCTGAATGAAGTTGGAGACCTGCACTTAAGTTGCTGGTCTTTTCCTTTGTGTGATATTGTAGTTATGTCACCATCTCCATAAACAAGAGTATCCTCAGTTTTAAAACGGAGAATAATTTTAATTTTACAGAGATATTTTAGGAATTAAATGAGAAGAGTGCGTTGTGTCAAAGCGTTATAAAGTATTAGGTAAAATTATTGGCATTTTAGCCCTTCCATAGTCTGTCCCCACGCTATTTCCAACTTAATGTCATCAACTGCCCAATTTGAACAAGCTCTCTACTTTAGGTTGGCCAGTCCTGTCGCTGATTATTTCCAAACCATATGCTTGCCTCTGCTTCCATTTTTTTTTGACCCTAAATGTTTTCTTCCTTTTGCCTTTCAAATCTGCCCATCAAACCCTTATCTTCAATTAAATCTTTCCTGACCACCTTAGGCAACAAGGATCTGTCCTTCAGAATTTATAGCACTTACTGTCTGCCAAGTGCCACTTTAATTCTACACTACTTTGAGCATCAATTCTACCATTCTGTAGTCTTATTTAAACATGTGGATCTTATATATTCCAACCTAGATGGTAAACTCTTTAAGAAAAAGAATTTGGTGTTATGCTTCTTGTTCTCCACAGCACCTATTAGTGGATTCTTTATAAAATATCTGAGGTTTCCTCATAGCAATAGTGACTGACATTCTGCCCTAAATCATTTCAAACCTAGTATTTCTCTCCAGCCTGCACTCGGTGAGATAGCTTCCCTGTAGTTATCACACAGAAAAAGATTTTTCTCCTTTGTGGATAGTCTGATGTTGAATAAGAGCTGAGTTCTGCCTGAACGATTTCCCACACTCTTTACATTTACAGGGACCACCTCTATTATGGATTCTCTGGTGTTTACTAAGATCTGACCTCTGTCTGAAGCCTTTGCCACATTCATCACATTGGTAGGGTTTCTCCCCAGTGTGGATTCTCTGATGCTGAATGAGGCTGGTGATTCCTCGGAAGGCATTCCCACACTCATCGCACTTGTAGGGCCTCTCTCCAGTGTGGATTCTCTGATGTTCCGTGAGGACTGATCTTTGAGTGAAAGCCTTCCCACACTTATCACATTTATAGGGTCTCTCTCCAGTGTGAATTCGCTGATGTCCTATAAGACTTGTCCTCTGAATAAAGGCTTTTCCACAAACATCACACTTGTAAGGTTTCTCCCCAGTGTGGATTCTCTGATGTTGAATAAGGCCACTCTGACTGAAGGATTTCCCACATTCCTTACACTGATAGCATTTTTCTTTGTGGTGGATCTCCTGATGGGAAACAAGGGATGAGTTATAAACAAAGGCTCTTCCACACTCGTTGCACTCATAGGGCTTTGCCCCAGTATGAACTCCTTGATGCTGAGTAAGTATTGAACGTCGACTAAAACTTTTATTACACTGAGTACAATGATACGGTTTGTCTCTTGTGTGGATTTTGAGATGGTGAAAGAGGCCTGCTTTTTGGCTAAAGGCTTTGCCACATTCATTACAGTGGTAGTGTTTCTCTCCTGTGTGAAGTCTCTGATGTTGATTAAGAGCTGACCACCGCCCAAAGGCTTTGCCACACTCATTACATTTGTATGGTTTCTCTCCAGTGTGTATTATTTTGTGACGAATAAGCACAGTTCTCCCACGGAAAGTTTTTCCACATTCTTCGCATTTGTAGGGCCTGTCTCCAGTATGGATCCTCTGATGTTCACTGAGGCGTGAGTGCTGACTAAAAACTTTTCCACAGTCATCACATTCATAAGGTTTTTTTCCTGGACAGATTCTCTGGCGTTCAGTAAGGTCTGAGTTCTTAGTCAAACTTACTCCATTTTCATCACATATAGGTTGTTTATCTTCACTACAGTGTCCAGAAGGCTCTTCTGTTTTTTCTTCAGGTTCATAAGTTTTTCCACACCTACCAGACTGGGACATTTCATTTTCAAATCTGCTAGATATACTCCCATATGGTTCCATTTCTTCAGAAACTTCTTGCTTTAGAGTTAAATTCCTGTACTCATTTCCAGTCTCAACATCTGAAACTACAAATGGATCACAAATTTAACGAGTTTCCTATGATAGCAAAGAGCAACTTCATTAGGCAACATAAAATTCTTCAAATGAAAAATACATAAGAACCTAGAGTTTCTGCATGGCTATAAAATGGCATTAGAATCTAGGACAGACCTAATATATAAAACATTCCAAAAACTGTTAAGGAAAAGACCAATAATCCAATAGGAAACCAGGCAAAGGGAAAATTCATGGTTTCCAGGAAAGGAAATACAATAGCTCTTAAACATAAGACAAGATGTTCCACCTCAAAAGAAGAGAAAAGCAAATTTAAACAATATTGAGATATAATTTTAACCCATCAGATTTGCCATCAGTTTGATATAACACTGTATGCACAAAATGGATATTACACATTGCCAGTGTAAATTGATCCAAGCATTATAGAGGGCAATTTCACAATATCTATCAAAATTACAAATGTATATAATTTTTGACCTAGTAATTCCACATATAGGAATTTATGCTATGGATATACTCACACATGGTTATTCATCAAAGCACTATTTGTTATAGTAAAACACTGGGGACAACCTAAATGTCACCAGCAGGGGAATGGATGAGTAAAATGTGTAGTATGTCCGGACATTTTAATAGTAAGCTGCTGTTAAGAAATAAATATGCAAGATTGTACTACCTTAGTAATAAAGAGAGGAAAATACATTTGCTTGAATATGAAAAATGTATATGCATAAAAAAATCTCTAGAAGGACAAACAAGAAACTAATAACAGTAACAACCTATTTTAGAGCAGAGAGGAGGAGACAAGATGGCTGGGGGAATTGAGTGGAATGAAAACTTTTCACTGGATAACTTTAAATTTTTGTTTTTGAACCATATGAATTTTTACCAATTTAAAAAAATTAAATGAAAAAGAAAAAATATAGATAAAGTAAAGATAAGGAAGATCCAGGGTCTTTCACCCATTCACCAACTTTTAACATTCTGCCACATTTGCTTTATTACTCCTTCTCTTCATAAGAGTACACACATATTTTTTTTCTCCTGAACCATCTGGGAGTTAGTTGCAGACATCATGGGGCAAACGCTTATTTACTGAAGGAGGAAGGATATAGTCAAAGTAGAAGATAGTGGTATTATCTGGTAGGATAAAGGCTAGAAATAGCAGGGAGGTCAGTATAAAGGAAAACAACTATCAGAAGGCCTGAATTAAGTGATCGCAAATAAAATAAAGACAGAATTTAGAAAAATATTAATATAAAGAGAAAAACACGATTGAAGAGTAACAAATTAGGCTGTCTGAGAGTCTATGCATGAGCCATAAGATTCCCAGAGAGACTTTCCTGACTTCAATGATGAGAAACAGTATGAAGTACAAAAGAGTCCCATGTCCTGTATTAGCCCTGCCTTCTCCTTCCCCCAAGATGGGTCTTTCTTCTTTACCTTGCTTCTGTTGGGCTTCAAGTTCTGGAGATTCACACTTTAGCTGGGCTTTCACACACTGGAGGGATGTACTGGGTTCTTGTTCTCTTCCTAGAGGTGCCATCTCCTGCAAGAACATTTCCTGTTCCTCAGCATGGACTGAGACCTGAGGTAAATGAGATATATCTGACACACTTGCTCTGACAACAGAAAACAAAAAAGTATATTATTCATGGCAGTGGCACCCAGCTCTCTGAAATATGAATGAACTTCTTTCCAGATATCAGCCGGCCATCATCCTACTTCAAGGCCAATATAAATGTCACCTCCTCTGAGAAACCTTCCCTTCCCCAGCTGGAAGTGATTTCCCCCATACTTAACAGCTAAAGTATGTTGGCTGTGCCACTTTTACTTCTTTGTCTTATGCTCAAAGAAGTGGAGAAGGAAAGAGAGAAAGAAAAAAGAGAGGAGAGAAGGAAAAGAAGGCTAAAAAGAGGAAGAAAGGAGGAAAAAAGAACTTAGGGGAAAACAGAAGAGAGAAAGAAGAAAAGGAAAGGGGATAAGTAAAGGGAAATAATGGAAAGAAATGAAGGCAGAAGGGAACAAAGAAGAGGAAGAAAAGAAACAGGTGGGAGGAGGAAGGAGAAAGAAAGAGAAAAGAAGGAAAAGGAGAGAAATCTCTTCCATATTCACTCCAGAATCTGTTTCCAAGACTCTGCTCTTCCAAGGTTTCCATCCCAGTTCTCTCTGGGAAGATGATCTTATTTTCTGTTTATCCAAGATCACAATCATCTAAAAAATCATCTACCCACTCATACTCTTTCCTTCCCTCCTATCTTATAGGAAGATGTCTTTTCTTTTTCAAGGCTCATATCTCCACTTTTGCCTTCAATCCTATCCCTCAATTAACTCATTTATTCAGCAATTTCAGCTACTCTAGCTTCCATTCCTCCATGGGCCCATTCCCTCTTGCATTTAAAAATAACAGGTTTCCCCAGTACAGTACTGTAAAAAGCAGAATCACTCTACTTACTTACTATGTTTCTTAGTTTAGTAGCTCTGTGAACTTGGGCTAGTTACCTGAGAATATAAGACATCATGTCTATAAAGCACCGAGCGCAGGGCCTTGGCATACAACAGGCCCTCAAATTATTCCCCTATCCCCTTCAATGGCTAAATTTTGTAAATAAGAAATCACCATACACTGCTTCTATTTCCCTAACACAGTTTCATATCGTAACCTCTGCCTCCTGAGTAAGAGCCAAAATCAACAGAATGCTGTCTCAGATGTACAGAAAAGAGGTTTTGATGCTTCAAATTTTGAAAAAAAAAAAGGCTAGTACAGTGAGCTGTGCCCTCTATCCCTGGATCTCTGGCTAGACCTCAGAAATCAAGCTGTAAACTCCACTAGTTGCCTCCAGCACGCTGTAAGAGAAAGGACTGGTTGGCAACACAAACTCAACATGTTTAAAACCAAATTACTTTTGCCTGCACTCGAGAATCCCATTTTTCTTTTAGTTCTCTTCCTACCCGGCTGGCCACTTCTCAGCTACCACTGCTGGTTACTCTCCTGATGATCTCCTTTTGTCTCATAGCTTTAAATATCCATATTATGATAAGTGTCAAATTTATAGTTCTAGCATAGATCCCTCCACTGAATCCCAACTTGTTATATCCAGTTGCTTGCTCAACTTTTCCAATTGGATTCTAACAGGAATCTCAAAATTAACAGATCTAAAACCTAACTCTTGATTCCTGTCCCTCCACTGCAAATCTACTTCTCACCCAGTCTTTACCAAAGGACAAATACATTCTACCTGATGTTCAGACCAAAAACCTTAGCATAAGCCTTAACTCACTTTCTCTCATATCTCACATCCTATATAAAAACAAATACTGTCAAGCTTTACCTTCAAAATATACCCAGAATCCAATCACATCTCACCACTTCCACTGCTACTACCGTAGTTCAAGCCACCATATCTCTTGCCTGGATTATTGCTTATAGCTATAGCCTCCTAAACTGGTCTTAACCTCTATGCTTTCCCCACCCCAATCCCCAATGTAGAACTTTCCCAGCATAGCAGCCAGAGTGATTATTTTAAAATTTAAGTTAGATTAAATCTCTCTTCTGCTCAAAACTCTCCAACGACTCTCCATCTCAGAATAAAATCCAAAGTCTTTTTAATGGCCTACAAGTTCCTACATGGTTTGATCTCCTTATAACTATTTGATTTCATCTCCTCCTTGTCAAACACAACTCCACCATGACAAGCATATTCTCACCTTAAGACCTCTCCACTTACTGTTCCCTTTGCCTGAATGCTCTTATTCTGGATGGCTGCATGGCTTGCTCTTCTAATTCAGATCCCTGCTCTAAATGTCACCCTATCTGAGAAGCCTTCCCTGACTGGTCTATTGAAGTTAGCACAATCTGCATGTCATTCACTATTACTTTTCTTTGCTTTATTGGTTTTTTTGTTTTTTGTTTTTTGCTTGAGAAAGATTAGCCCTGAGCTAACACCTGTGCCAATCTTCCTATTTTTGTATGTGGGTCGCCACCACAGCATGGCTGACGAGTGGTGTATGTCCGCACCTGGGATCCAAAGCCACGAACCTGGGCCACCAAAGTGGAGCGTGCCGAACTTAACCAATGCCATGGGGCCGGCCCCTATTGTGTGTTTTTTTTTAACATATATAATTTATAACCACCTGACATGTTTGTTCATTTTTTGTTTACTGTCTGTCTCTTCTCGGTAGACTAGAATCTATCTACACGAGAGCAGCAACCTTCTCTACTTTGTTCACTGCCATACTCCCAGTGCCGAGAATCATGCCTGGTACAAAACAGATATTCAATAAATATCTGAACGAATGAACTCTTCCCCAATCCACTTCTACAGTCTTGAACTCTGTTAGGAGTGTCTTCATTACGCTAGTCTTTCAAGCTTGAAATCCCTAGTGCACAGCCTAGAAGAGATTGCTTAGTAAAGAGTTTTCCGTTCATTCTTCCTTCTTCATACATCTAAGTTGTCATCATTTCCAGTTAATTCTTACCTAAGACATGCCTCATCTTTTGTAACCACACTTTCATAACTCTATTTCAAACTTAAGATCTTTTTGCCACAGGCTCCTTCCCTCTCCAGTCTATTTTGTACCCCAACGCTAGATTACACTTTTTGTTTTATTATCTCACTGTTTCATACTCTTTATACCAAGGGTTCCTAGCCTTGGGTCTATTGACAAGTTGGGTCAGATAATTCTCCTTTGTATAAGGCTGTCCTGGGCCAGCCCCGTGGCTTAGTGGTTAAGTGCGCGTGCTCCACTGCTGGTGGCCTGGGTTCGGATCCCGGGCGCACACCGACGCACTGCTTCTCCAGCCATGCTGAGGCCGTGTCCCACATACAGCAACTAGAAGGTTGTGCAACTATCTACTGGGGCTTTGGGGGAAAAATAAATAAATAATTATTTAAAAAAAAAAAAAAAAGGCTGTCCTATGCATTGTAAGATGTTTAGCAGCATCCCTGCCCTTTAGCGACTGGAGGCCCCCATTATGACAACCAAAAATGTCCCAAGATACTGCCAAATGCCCTCTGGGGCACAAAATTGCCACTGGCTGAGAACCACTGCCTTTTTATCAATGTTGAACCAAAACAAAAAGGTCCTACATAATTTGATTCTCTTTCATATCTTGGGTTTAGTAAAGCTCATTTAGACTCAAAGAGAAAAGGTTAGGAGTCTCTGTCCTACAGAATAAAATCTAAACTCCAGGGGCTGATATTCAAGGTCCTGGACTGTCTGTTTTCAACTCTTCTCACAACTCACCTTTCCAACCTAACTGGGCTTTCTACCACTCAAACAAACATGGATCCTCCACCCTGCCCCTCCCTCCTAACTTTCTACTCTGCTCCCATATCTCATTCCTCTGAGATGGTGATTAACTTCTCCACCTTTTATTCCTTTAATGGAGACAGAGCAGTGGATATATCTGCAAAACCTTATTTCTTAATTATTTGTATTGAGCAACAGAAGTGATGCCCCTTTCAAGAGGCTGCTGTCATCTCTCTAACATTTTCTCTCTGTCCTAGAAGACTTCTGTTTCTAAATCTTCTGTTTCTAATGTTTCTGAGCAGCATTTTATCAGAGACTTTTGTATCTTAGTACAGAAATACATGATCCTTCCACAGAAAAGGTATAATTAAGTTAGGACTACATTAACCAGTTTTTCATGACACTCAGGCCCCTTTCTGATGCACCAAAGTGTCAAGACCACACTTTACTGTACTTCACTCTGGCCTAGAAATCCATAATTCATCTTTTCTCAAACAGAAACCACATCTGTTTTCTCACCTGATATCCTGGCTCATCCAACTCTTTCTCTAAATCCTCCAGCACAGTCACCACCTCTTCCCCACTCTCTGGATGCTGTTCCTGCACCCAGGCTTGGAGCTCCTCGGGCAGGATGGTCAAGAATTGTTCCAGCACCAGGAGCTCCAGGATCTGCTCTTTGGTGTGGGTCTCCGGCCTCAGCCACTGACGGCAAAGTTCCCGCAGTCGACTCAAAGCCTCACGGGGTCCAGATGTTTCCTGGTAGCAGAATTGCCTGAAGTACTGTCGGAAGACCTCTCTACTATGCATGTTGTTCTTTTGCAGGTTCTGATCCTGTCTGGTGGTATCCTTATATTCCTCCTCCCTCTGCTCCTCCTCCTCTATCTTTACTTCCAAAAGTTCATCCTGGTCCTTGCCGGCCTGGAGAGCCCAAGTAGATGCCATCACAGCTTTGCAAAAGCTGTATCAGTGCTTCAAGCAAGATCTCCAGTGGTAAGTTTCTTCCTGGGTGGACTTGAGGAAGAAGCCATCATTGTTAACACAAATTACACCATAGTCAAAAATTGCCAATTCTAAGAATTTAAATACGTGCTTTGAAACCCGCCTCCAGGTTAATTGACTATACTCAGGGAAATACTTTGATAAAAAAGATTTAATAGACTAATTTAAAGAGAAAGATTAGGTAAAAGGTGTTAAGTTGTTTCAGGACTTTAAGAAGAAAGAGTAAGACTTGGTAGGAACATTTCCCTTTAGTTCTAGAAAAAGGACAATTAAATGGAATAAAACCAACATTCAGAGCAAATAAACAATGATAATAAAAAGTTGAGACATCCTTGATTAGTTGTTTTTATTTTTTAAATGCCCAGATGTCTGGTGAAAACCATGATGTCATGAAACAGCAAAGTCACATGAATTTACTCCCTCGGGAACTTAATCTCTCCGCTCCTCATTCTTCATTTATAAAGCGAAAAGGCTGGAGATGGTGATCTTTAAGGCCCTCCTCTACCCTCACGTTCTATGATTCTAAATCTGAAGTAAGGCAAGCCCAGGAAAGGGGCCCTAGGCCGCCGGTCGGCGTCTGAGACCCAGGAAGGTCCAGAAATGTCGGGAGGCGCCGAACTGAGAACGCTACACGGCCCCAGGCGCAGCCGGACTCCGCAGAGACCGAAGGCGGGCCCCTCAGCCCCGGGTTTCCGACCCACCCTCCGAGGGAGGAGGGATGGCCTCTGTGTTCGGGAGCTTCTCGCGGACCCGCCCGGGCCAGCGACAACCGGAGGGCGCCCCGCTCCAGCCTGGGCCGGCCAGAGGGGCCCAGGCGCAAGAACGCCGTGATATCCCGCCCCCCACGCCCCGCCGCGGCCGAGCACAGACTCGCTCACCAGCAGCCCCGGAGCCAGGAGAGGAGTCCCTCCTCCCGGGACTACGGGCCGAGGCCTCGAACCCCTTCGGAAGCCAGAACCCAAGAAGAGCGACCCACAAAGGCCGCAACGGCCCCCGAGCACGAAGGGCCGGCTAGCCGGGTCGGCGCGTAGTGCACTTCCGCCGCTGCTCTAAGAAGGAGGAGGGAGGGGCTCTCCACTCGGTCGTCGTCCCCCCACCCCCGCCCCGCCCTCGCGAGAGGACGGCTGAGGATTCTCAGGCCTGCGGTTACACGGAAGTGTCTTCTGTTTCTCCTCCTGTGTGCCTGGTTGTTATCCCCGCTTCGCCTGACCCGAAGGGTGGTCGAGGCTTGGCAAGTCGATCTGAAATAGGGAAATCCCATGCTGCTTCACTCTCATTTTTATTTGGGTTTCTGCACCTTTGAGGTTCAAGGTGCCTCAAAGGGATGTTCTCCCCAAGTCCTTCCCGACTCGGCAAGGCTTCACGATGATGAAGGGACCAAGATTTTCTACACACACTAATCAAGGGGCAACCTGATGGTTTCTGCCTGCTTTTTCACCTTCAATGATTCTCCTCATGTTCTCTTTTATGCGTTGATATGATTATATATCCGAAAACCCACGGAGTTCAATGGGAAAACTACATAAAAAAGATCATTTAGTAAAGCAGCAAGATATAAAATTAACATACTAAAATCAATTATCTTCATATACGCAAATGACCGGTGATAAACAGTTACAAGATATAATGGAAGACTGTATTTATAATAGCAACAACCAAAATTACTAGGAATAAACTTAATCAGAAATGTGCAAAACCTATATGGGGAAAACTTTTTTAAAAAACTCTTGAAAGGCCAAGTGTAAACTTAAACAAATAGAAAGCCATATGCTGTTCTTGGCTAAAAAGACTCAATAAAGAGGTCAATCTATAATAAAAGCATCAACACATTCTGTTGTAGAATTAGACAAATTAATTTATAAAGTTTGGGAAAATAAGAATAGCCGTGAAACCCCTTGAAAAAGAACAAAGGGGAGGGACAACCTTATCAGATGTTAGAACATATTATAAAGCCTCTACAGTTTAGAGCGGGGTATGGTGCATGAACAGACCCAAAATAAAGCCAGGTACATATGGATATTTAGTATATGGTGATGATGGGATCTCACATCAAACGGGGAAATGAAGGACATACAAATAAGTTGTATTGGGACAACTAATAGACATTTAGTCAAAGGTAAAATTAGATTAATATCTCCCACCACACATCACAATCGGGGTAAATTCCAAATGTGGAATTTATTTTACATTTTTACACAAATGTAAAAAATATGCTCAGACATGTATTAGAAGAAACATAATAATTCTAACACCTAGAAAAAGGGTAATCTTATCTAACCATGATTCAAAATCCAAAAGCAACAAAAAATATTGATAAATCTAACTAAATAAAAATAAATGTATTGCTTGTCAAAAAACATCATAAAGAAGTCAAAGACAAATGACAGGAAAAATGTTTGCAACGTATCACAAACGGCTAATATCCCTAATATATAATGAGCTACTAAAATATTTCCTAAAAAGAGAATAACCCAATGGAGAAAATGGACAAAAGAAATGAACAGTTGGCAGAATAAGAAATTGTAGCAGCCTTCAAACGTCTATAAATATGCTCAAATTCACTCGAAATATAGAAATACAAATTAAAAACTACACTGAGGTGCCATTAGTCATTTTATTGTATTGGCAGAAAAATCCAGAAGTTTGACAATATACTCTATTCATGAGAAAAGATGCACTCTCATACATTCCTGATGGGAATACAAAATGGTACAACCTCTATTTGGAAAAGTAATAACATATAGCAAAATTACATATGTAAGTTCACCCTTTTTCCCTGCAATATCACTGCTAGAAATCCACCCCAAAGATATATTGACAAAAATATGAACTGACATATGCACAACGTTATTCATTGAGGCATTCAAGCCAAAGACCGGAAACAAACCAAATGTCCATCAATAGCAGACTGACTGAATAAAGTATGACATTTCTACCCAGTAGAATACTAGGTAGCTATAAAAAGAAATGAGAAATATCTTGATGTATCGCTATGGAGTGATTGACAGGTGTTTATAGTATACTACCTGTGGTAGGCAGAACAATGATACCCCCAAAATGTATACTCCTAATCCCCAAAACCTGTGAATATATTTTGTTACATAGCAAGGGGGAATTAAGGTTGCAGATAGAATAAATGTTGCTAATCAACTGACCTTAAGATAGGTTTTCATAATTCAGGACCAACTTTTTGTTTGTTTCAATAAAACTTGATTTATGGACATTGAAATTTGAATTCAATGTAATTTTCTCATATCACAAAATATTATGCTTCTTTTGATTTTTTAAAATTAAATTTTTATTTTAATATAATTGTAGATTCACATGCGTTGTAAGAAATAATGCAGAGAGATCCTATTTACTCCTTACCAGCTTTCCACGGTTAGTAACATTTTGCGGAACTATAGTACAATGTTACAACCAGAATATTTACATGGATAGAGTCAAGATACAGAACACTTCCATCACTACCAGAATCCCTTTTATCAACACACTCACTTCCCTCTCACCCCCATCTTCTCATTAACTCCTGGCAACCAGGACTCTGTTCTCTACTTTTATAATTTTGCCATGTCAAGAATGTTATATAAATGGAATCATACAATGTGTAACCTTTTCAGATTGACTTTTTCCATTCAGCATAATTCTCTGGAGAATCATTCCGATTGTTCCATGTATCAATGATTCATTCCTTTTCATTGCTGAATTGTGTTCTCACTGGGTTGTTTCCAGTTTTTGGCTATTACAAACAAAGCTGCTCTCAACATTCCTGAACAGGTTTTTGTGTGTCTTCATTTCTCTGGGATAAATGCCTAAAAGTGCAATTGCTGGGGTCATGTAGTAGTTGCATGCTTAGCTTTTAAATAAACTACCAACCACTTTCTATATGGCTGTGTTATTTTACATTCCCATCAGCAATGTATTAGTGTCTCCTATTTCTCTACATCCTCACAGCATTTGGTGGTGTCACTCTTTCTTATTTTAGCCTTTCCGATAGCTGTGCTATTTTACTGTGGTTTTAATTTGCGTTTCCCTAATGGCAAATGATTTTAAACATCATTTTATATTTTATATGTTCATTTGCCATCAATATATCTTTGGTAAATGTCTCTTCATGTCCTTTGCCCAAGTTCTAACTGGATTGTTTGCTTTTTTACTACTGAGGTTTGAAAACTCCTTATGTATTCTAGATACTAGTCCTTTGATATATGGTTTGCCAATATCTTCTCCTGTTCCGTAGCTTGTCTCTTCATCCTCTTAACAGGGTATTTCACCGAGCAAAACTTTTTAATTTTGATGAAGTCCAATTTACCAAATTTTCCCTTTATGGATTGTGCTTCTAGTGTCAAGTCTAAGAACCCCTCGTTCTTAAACCCTAATATTTAATCCTATGTTTGTTCTAAAACCTTTATAGTTTTGTTTTACATCTTAGTCTGTGATCCATTTTGAGTTAATTTTTGTATAAGATGTGGCACTTGGATCAAGGTTTTTGTTTTTGTGTTTTTTTAGTCTATGGATTTCCACTTGCTCCAGCACTATTTGTTGAAAAACATACCTATCCTCCATTGAACGCTTTTGTACCTTTGACAAAAATCAGTTGGGCATATTTGTGTGGATCTAGTTCTCAGTTCTCCAGTCTGCTCCGTTGATCTATGTGTCTATCCTCCACCAATACCACATCCCTTCATTACTATACTAGTTATATGAAGTCTTAAATCAAGTAGACTGATTCCATACACTTTATTTTTGTTTTTCAAATCATTTTAGCTATTTTGGTTGCTTTGCCTTTCTGTGTAAATTTTAGAATAATTTTGTTTATATTTACAAAAAGTCTTGCTGAGATTTTGCTAGGAATTGCAATAAACTTGTATGTTAATTTGGGGGAAATTGTCATCTTTATTGTATTGAGTCTTCCAATCCATGAACACGGTCTCTCCACTTATTTAGACCCTCTTTGTTTTCTTTCTTCAGCATTTGGATTTACACTTAAGTATTTTCTTTTTTTTTTTTGAGTCACTGTAAATAGTATTGTACTACTAATTTTAGTTTCCATGTGTTCATTGCTAGTATATAGAAATACAATTGAGTTTTGTATGTTGATCTTGTATTCTGCAAACTTGCTGAACTCACTTATTGGTTTAGGAGTTTTTTATAGATTCCTTGGGATTCTCTAAGTATATAATCATGTCATCTGCAAATAGGGATGGTTTTCTTTTTTGTTCTGTATGACTTTAATTTCCTTTTCTTGCCTTATTGCACTAAAACTTCCTGCTCTACTTTGAATGAGAGTGGTGATATTGGAAATTCTTGCAATGTTCCTTGTTTTAGGAGGAATGTATTCAATATTTCACCAGTAAGTATAATGTTTGCTGTAGGGTTTTTTTGCAGATGCTCTTTAACAATTTGAGGGAAGTTCCCCTTTATTCCTAATTGCTTTTTATAAAAATCATAAATAGGCATTGGATATTGTCAAATGCTGTTTCTGCATCAATTGATATGATTTTTTCTTCTTTAGCAATTTCACGTGGCAGATTACATTAACTGATTTTCAAATGTTGAACCGTCTTTGCATACTTGGAATAAGTCTCACTTTGTCATGATATATAAATTATTTTTATATATTATTGGATTCAATTTGGTAATATTTTGTGGAGGATTTTTACATCTATGTTCATAAGAAATACTGGTCTATAATTTTCCTTTATGCAATGTCTTTATCTGGTTTTGTTATTAGGGTAATTTTGGCCTCATAGAATAAGTTATCCAGTGTTTATACTACTTATATTTTCTGGAATAGATTGTGGAGTATTGGTATCATTTCTTCCTTAAATGTTTGGTAGAATTCACCAGTGAAACCATCTGCACCTGATGCAGAGGTTTTCGGAAGGTTACTAAAGATTGATTCAATTTCTTCAATATATAGGCCTATTCAGATAATCTACTTCTCCTCGTGTGAGTTTTGGGAGTTTGTGTCTTTCAAGGAATTTTACCATTTTATCTAAGTTATCAAATTTGTGAGCATAGAGTTGTTCAAAGTATTACTTTATTTTCCTTTACATGCCCATGAGATCAGTAGTGACAACCCCTTTTTCATATGTGATATTGGTAATTTGTGTCTTCTTCCCTTTTTTTCTGGCTAGTGCTTTGTTAATTTTATCAATATTTTAAAAGAACAGCTCTTTGTTTCATTGATTTTCTTTCCTCTATTTTTTTCTGGTTTCAATTTCCTTGATATCTACCCTTTCTTCTGCTTGCTTTGGGTTTATTTTGCTCTTCTTGTTCTAGGTTTTTGAGTTGGAAGATTTGGTTATTGATTTAAGACTTTTCTTCTTTCTAATGTATACATTTAATGCTATAAATTTCTTTCACAGAACTGCTTTAGCCACGTCTCACAAATTTTGCTATGATGCATTTTCATTTTCTTTCACTTCAGTGTATTTATAAACATTTCCCTTGAGACTTCCCTTTGACTCATGGATTGTTTAGAACTGACCCACCAATTATTGAGATTATTTAAAACCCATGGATTATTAGAACTGTTATCTTTCTGCAATTGATTTCAAGTTTGGTTCAATTATTTTCCAAGAAGACACTCTATATGATTTCAACCTTTTAAGTTTGTCGAGGTTTGCTGAATGTGGTCCATCTTATCATATGTTCTACGGGCACTTGAAAAGAATTTATATTCTGCTGTTGTTGGGTGGAGTATTCTATAAGTGTCAATTGGATCCTGTTGGTTGGTGGTATTGTTGAGTTCTTCTATACCCTTGATGATTCTGTCTTGTTCTAACAGTTGAGAGAGGGTTGTTGAAGTCTCCAACTATAATTGGAATGGGTTTGTCTGTTTCTCCTTTCAGTTTTTGCTTCACATATTTGAAACTCTGTTGTTCAGTGCATATTTATTTATTATTTACATATCTTCCTAATAGATTGGCCCTTATTATCATTACATAATGTCCCTCTCTGTCTCTAGTAATTTTCTTCGCTCTAAAGTCTACTCTGATATTAATATAGCTACTCCTGCTTTCCTTTGACTAATATTTGCAAGACATATCTTTTACCATCCTTTTACTTTCAACCTGCCTATATCATTATATCTGAAGTGAGTTTCTTGCAGACAGCATATAGTTGAATCATGTTTTTTAATTTACTCTGTCAATCTCTTTTAATTGGCATATTTTACCATTTATGTTTAATGTATTTATTCATATGTTAGGGCTTTGCTCTGCTATTTTATTTTTTGTTTTATGTTTGTTTTGTCATTTCTCTGTTTTCATTTTCCTGCCTTCTTATAAGTTATTTGAGCATTTTTTAGAATTGCATTTTGATTTACCTATAGTATTTTTGAGTACATCTTTTTGTATAGCATTTTTAGTAGTTGCTCTAGATATCACATTATAGACACATAACATCACATTCTATTGGTGTCATCATTTTACTGGTTTGAGCGAAGTGCAGAAGCCTTGCTTTCCCTTACGTTCCTTACCCTCTCCATTTATAATATAATTCTCTTAAATATTTTCTCTAAATACATTTAGAACCACATCAGATAGTGTTATAATTTTTGCTTCAACAGTGAAACATAATTTAGAAAACTCAGGAGGAGAAGGAAAGCCTTTTGTATTTACCCATATTCCTTCTTCTTTCCTGATTCTTTTCTATTTAGAGAATTTCCTTTTGCCATTTTTAAAGGTAGGTCGGCTGGTGTCAAACTCTATGTCTTATTTGTCTCAGAATATCTTGATTGTCCTTTCACTCCTGAAGGATATTTTCACTGAGTATAGGATTCTGGCTTGACAGTTCTTTAAAAATGATGTGTCAATTCCTTCTGGCTTCCCTCATTACTCATAAGAAATCCACTGTCATTTGAACTGTTTTTATCCTATAGGTAAGATGTCATTTTTCCCTGAATGATTTCAAAATCTTTTCTTTGTATTTAGTTTTGTCATTCCTTGAGTCCTGAGGTCCAAGTGGGTCTGCCTTTTTCTTTCTACTTTTTAGAGTCTTATATTTGTTATATACAATGTCCAGGGTTTTAATTGTACTTAGCGGGAAGAAAAGAGAAAAGTAAGTGTACTCGACCTTCCTCAAAATGGAACTCCTCTTCAGGACCAATTTATATCTTGAAGTTCTAGTTTAGGGTACACTCATCTTGTCTGTAGCGTAAATTCAGACTTCACACTGAGTGCAGGCTCCAGGGTTAGCTCTCTCATGGAAGACATCCTCCTTAAGTGCACAAGCTTTGCTCTGTTCTGGCCTCATCACTTCTCTCTCACCTCACCAACCCAGCCATTTACTAAGACCAGATATCTTGCTGCTTCTCTGACCCAATAGGTGGAGTTTTCCTTTCATGGAAGGTGTTATCCTTCTAGACATCCCACACCACGTCACGGTTTCCATTTCAGCTATGGCTTTGTGTCTTGTAAACAGAATGTTACAACAGAGGAATGTGAGAAGCATTAAGATGGAAGAGGCACTGGTGGAGCTCTGGCTACTCAGAGAACGGGTAGACAGGAGGTCCTAGACATCCCAGAGAGTCTCTGGGAGAGCTGACACTTGGGTTGAGTTGTAAAGAAAGTATAGAAATAATCCAAGTGGAGAAGCAGGAAAAAGCCTTCTAGACAGAGAGAGAACCAAACCCTGGAAAGGGCATGTTGATATAAAGTATGTAGATATGTGTGGAATGCTGGGATATAGGGCTAAAGGGCAGGCAGGACTGGAAAAGGAAGGTGCTTCAAAGCCAGGGTAAGGAGCTGAACATTAACTTGAAGGCCATGAAAGGCCATGGAAGGAATTTAAGCCTGGCAGTAACTGGCTACAGGGAGACTAGTTTGTTTAGTGTTGCAACAAATGAGGGCAGGGTGGGTGCACAGGGAGAGAGGAAGTCTGATTAAGAAAGTGCGAAATATGAGGGGATAAAATTGAGAAATACTCAGGCGGAAAAACGGATCAGGGCATGGTAATTGATTATGCGGGAGGTAAGAGAACAAAAGATCTAGGTATAATTACAGGATGGTGGTTCCCTCACCAAGAAAGGGAACACTAAATAAGAAGTAGCATTTTGAGAACAGATTGAAGAGATCAGTTTGGTCATGTTAAGTTTGAGATCCTAGGAGGCATTAGACTGCAGATGTTGCTATCTGTTAATGGATCGGTTTAAGGATTTGTGGGTCTAGGACTCAAGGGGAGAGAGTTAGGCTCAAGAGCCATATTCTGAAGCCATAGACTTTTCAGAAATGGTTAAACTGATTACGATATTTTATGAAGTGTGTAGTGCTAAAGGATAGCCCAGGAGGGCTCCGGTGGAACACTCCTCATGCTCTTCACCCCAGCCACTGTAGACCCCTCTTCCAGGACATCTGGGGAAAAGAGGGAGAGGGATCCCTTCCCATACTTGCCAGGGCTCAAATCTCACCCCAACCATGGAACATCTCAGAAAAGAACAGACACACAGCAAGTCTTGAACAACAACTTGAATCCACGTGGAAGTGAACCTTAAGCTGACATTTGGGTCCTTTTCTAGGAACTTTGAAAGATTGTGCAATTCAGAAGTTCTTCAAGTCCCACTGAGCATGGCTTCCTTCAGGAGGCTAATATGAAAGTCTTCAATAAGGAGTCAGCCTGCACCAAAAATGACTGACTTGCCACAGGTCCCGTGGACCAAGGTGAAGCAGCTTCCTGTCACAGATGCAATGCAGCCACAAGAAACGAGCCTCTAAGCACAAAGAGAGAGCTTAAGACAGACAGAAGGCTGCGTAACTGCATTCTCCATATTTTGACACTGGAGAAACACAAGGATGTAGAGACAGAGAATAGACACAAAACGTAAAAATGGATCTCTAGAAAACTTCTATTTCTCACACTTTTTGTCCAAGTTTATTACTAACCCTTCTTGGCCATTTTATTAACCTAATAACTCTAACATTTAAAAAGAGACGGTTTCTTGTGATATTTGATAAGCCTTCTAATTACTTCTAACATCAAAAGAGGGGAAAAAAGCAGACTTTGAGATCTAGCACTCAAGAAATAAGAAAAAAGGAGAAACACTAACATCAGAAGGTCACTTTGTTACTTTGTGAAAATAAAAGCAGATATAAACTTGATTAGCTCTTAATCATGTTAGGTGTATTTGGGAAGTTGAAAAGGGGCCAAGAAACAATCAAGAAAAATGTTGAACAATTATTTAGGAAAAGAGAATCCAAAAAGAACTCCTTTATTTATTCATTAATTCATTTTCCAGACTTTAAAACTGGGTGGATAAGGGTGTAGTGGAAAATTAAAGATGTCTACAAATTCTTTGACACTTTTCCCATCGAGAGGTGGGGTCTTCATCATCTCCCCTTGAATCTGAGTGGGCTTTATGACTACTCTGACCAATAAATGCAGCAAAAGTTATGCTGTTTTAGTTTCCCAGCCTTTAGAGAGCAGCAGCTTTCCCTTTTTGCTTTTCGGAACAATTGCTCTTGGAGCCCTGAGCGACCATGGAAAAAGTCTGACTACCCTGCTGGAAAGAGCACAGGAGGCCCTGAGACTATGTAGAGAAGAAAAGGGGCTCAGCTGAGCCCACCCTTTTAGCTGTCCCTGCCAAGGCACTAGGATTTCTTGGATTTTCCAGACGAACCAGCTGCCAGATGAATACCACCAAGTGATGCTAGTAGATGCCACATGAAGTGGAAGAATCTCCTAGCTGAGCCCTCCCCAAATTCCTGGCCCCAAACCTCATGGGGTGGTTAATTCTAGGCCACTGTTTTCGGGGTAACTTTTTTTGTGCAGCAGTGGATAACCACATCAGGTGTTTACTAGACTGTATAACAGCTTGATTAGACTACTCCCTCAAAATATTACATTTCCTTAGTTTAAATGGTACAGTCTACAAGCAATTTTTAATTTGCAAGTGATTTCTTGATTTCCAACCAGGAAAAGGCTTGTTGAGGACTTGTGCTAAATTTTCGACTAGGTATAACTCCAATTGTTAATGGGAATTTTAAGTATAAGACAATCTTTTATGGGTAATAGTTACTAACCAATTTTTTTAAAGTGATTACACTGGACACTAAAACTAATCAAACCATGGGATCCTGAGGTAACTGTACTGAAAAAGTTGTTTTCAAATTACATTTTTGTACTTCCAATAGATATTTCTCATCTTGAAAAATGTTAGTAGCTAAACTCAATATAATAACATTTAACACATGCCAACTTTTTAAATTCTTGTATTTAGAAAGAAAATACTAATTCCTTAATCTAAGTCATCATGAGTAATAATAAAGGAAGTATTTCATTTGCACATTTGAAATCAGAAGCCAAAAGCAAAGCAAGGTTTGGTGATGTGAATCTTGTGAGCTTTTAGAAACTACATGGTTGAAAACACAGGTAAAATATGTCAATAAGGGAAGAACTTTCAGGGTTCACCTGGAGACAATGGAATGTTTTGCTTCCTACCCACCGTTCTAATGGGAGAATCCACAACCAGTGGTTTTTAAAAAAGTTAACTTGTATCTAATTGATGAACCATTGATATAGTTCTTTACTCAGGCCAAGAAACTCACCTTTCTTTAAAATATGTGAAACAGACTGAGAAAAAGGTTCACGAATATTTAGACACGTCTATGCTGATAAGCAAAAACTGAGCCATGCAACTAGGCACATGCTGTGAGCCAGAATACACAATGAGTAAACTCTTGCTTAAAAAATGAGTAAAAATTGAAGCTTTTTTACCCCTAAAGTGACAGTTACATTATACAGCAATATAAATATATTTGGGGGATTGTAAGTGACTTAAATTCCAATCTAACATAGCAAGTAT